ACTGGTGCGCCACCCACCTGGTGGGCCCTATCACACCAATGGAGACTTGCCAAGATGGATTCTTTTGAGTTTGTGAACTCACAAATATCTTGAGAATCCATCTTGCTGGGCAAGGTCAGTAGCAGCAAAACAGTTATTAAGTGCACCTTTAACACTTAGTCTCCCATGTGGTAAAATTATATAATTTGGTATATAATATGAAATATATATTGTTTTGCATATTGTTTCTGTTTTTGTCACTGTCTCAAAAGTCAACATTTACACTGAAAGGGGGATTACAAATAAAGCTCACAAGTTCTTTTGTACCTCGACACAAAGAATTAACCTCCTTCCATATTTGGAATTTATTTATTGTATTCAGCTCTCCTATGGAAAGAAAATACTATAATGGGAAATAACTTTGCAAGTTCAAATCTACCACTGGGTAATGAATGTAGTGTTATGGGATAACCGTTACTATTATACTAATCAGTGAAACATCTATTTGCAATGTCTATCATAGTTAACCTTAAGAGCCCACTGACATTTTTGTTGTCAACATTGAAAGAAATCCATTTAAGTTTATTGGATTACACAAACAATACCATGTAATCAAAGCACAGTAGTCATCACATGTATTGAGCACGTCCCAGTTGCGGACACGCCCACACGATTGCTCAGTCACCCGCGCATGCACTTTATTCTGCCCTGTTCTCCTCCACTGCATGTCACCCTCAATTGAACCTGTCATCTTCTTTGGTCGTCTAATGGCCGTTACTCGTAGAGAGCTATTAGAGTACAGGACATGTTATTGGAAATCAAAGAGGATTTGGAGTCCGGGCCCCTCGGCTGCAGGGGAAGGCACCTGGCAGAGGTCAACTTGTTAGAAAAACGTACTCGCTCAACCCTGACCACTAAAATGGATTGCTTTGGTGTAAATCTCTTTTTTCCATTATTACAATGCTTACTCTTGGTACATAGGCGGGGAAATCAGCAGCAAAGGCAATAAAGTGGATTGATACTCAAACTACTGCAGTTTTATATATTACAGGTAATAAAGTTTTTCATATATATATATATATATATATATATATATATATATACACACACACACACATATATATATACACACACACACACACACACATTTTTATATATATATATATATATATATATATATATATATATATATATATATATATATATATATATATATATATATATATATATATATATATATATATATATATATTATATGGAATAGTCAGTTCTTTCAGTATTCATGACCAGTGTCCATGATGGGAAGGCTGGTAGGTTGTGTTTAGAAGAGAAATGTTTGGCTTGTTGAAAGTTTAGATTTTATTTGGTGAACTCTTAAGAAAAATAATAATAAAGCGAGAGATATATATAATACAGTGTGAATGCAGTGCACATTTTGGAATGGATGTATCAGTCAGGTTATTTTTAAGTTGATAACTAGACAATGATTGTATACGTACAAACATCTAACACATGTTTCTAACAGTGGCTTGGGGAGGAGGAAGGCCTTGATTTTTCTTACCTGGTCGTTTGGACTAATTTGCCCCATGAAGTGGAAACCTTGAAGACCCTTTTACTTTTATTGGCTTCCCTCAAGTGATTTTCTTGCCTGTCTAGCTTTAAGAACCATAACATAAGACATCTTATGTTACATCTTTTTGTCATAGCAACAAACTGAAGAGCTTCTTCACAATAAATGCAGCCTACTACTACTACTACTTTCTTCAATTTGTGTAAGGAAAAAAGCTGCTTATGAAGTTATAGCTTTTGCCTAAGAGTGGTGTTTAGTAAAACTCCAGAGAGAAGCCAAAATGTCATTGTATCAGCACCACTGTCCAGTATCTAAACTGAGAATAGCAGAGCCCGAGCAGCACCAAATTCAGAGGCCCATTAGATCCATATTAAAAGCACATGGCCACCATCAACAACAGAATAACAGCTGAGTGCTGGTGATGTTGAGTGTGCAAAGGCAGGACCACAGGGAAATCAGAGGCATCATTAAAGTTTTATATTGTGTTTCTGTACACTTGCAGTCTCATCTTGTGTCTCCATTTACTTCAAAACGAATAAAGTTAGACCCGCCCAGGGATTTGGGCTTATAAGAAACTAAAAACAAAGGTGTCGTACAGGCATTGTTATATGTGGAATTGGCCAAGTATACAAAATTGAGTGGAATATGGGTAAAAACTTAATGTTTTGTCCACCCTACCATCAGTAATGATAAAAAGCACTTTAGCATGTGTTAATTGTCAAAATTACCAACTTTAATTTATTTTCAGCAAGACATTTCAAATAGCATATCTCAGAAGGTGATAAGGTTCTATGTGTGTGTGGCATTGCAGTGAAACACTAAATGTTCCTCCAGCTCCTGATCAAACAGAATCAGATTGAATTTGCATTTCATTATACATTTAAAGTAACTCTGCGTAACTTTGTGGAGGTGGCATGTCACCTACATATTTCCATAAAAATTTAAATTTAAAACCATACTTCAGAACATTTTCCAGAGATATATATGTTTTATGCTACTCTGTGGAATGGTATACAACATAACACCATTTCCATGGAGACAAGCAAGTGGAGGTCGGAATAAGAACACATGTTTGTCTGTGTTTTTCAGAGCAATAAAAACTGAAGAAAAAAAAATTGAAATCCTGTTCATATTTCTGTCTATTTTTTTTTGGCAAAGAAATTATATGTGCCGGATGAGGCTTAAACATCTATTTTTCACACTGTTTCTTACTATTTGACTTGATAGATGCTTAAAATCTCCACAGACAGATTTGAAGTTTGTCAGTGTCATTAAATCTCCCTGCATCCACTTCAGCCTCTGTTTGTGTGCGACTCTCTGCCTCCCCTCTCTATGTCCTACAACAGTGTCAGGCGGCAGACAGTGACAACAGATAGCCCTGCTCCCTCCCTGTCCAACTGTCTCACATTTGTACAGGAACATCCATCTTGGCATTGCACAGTGCAAATTCCCCATGCAGCAAATGATCTGTGAAAATCATACACAAATCCAGAGCCAGTCTCAAACAATCAATAACAACAATACCTTCACCAGCTGCAAACACGCAAAGGTCTGCGGGCACATTTCTTGCCTGTTTGCCAGATCTCTTTAGAACACGCACTGACACATGGCACTGGGTTGTGGGGTTTGACAGTGAGTGCGATTGCTGCCAGGTACACAACTGTTGGCTCACAGCAAAGTATTTAGAAAAGCCAGATGCTACAATACAATATGGTCATTCATTCTGCTCCTTTTGTCCTGTTTTGCACTTTTGTAGGAATTCTTATGGGGTATGTAAAATATGGGAACAGGTGTGCAGAGTGAAGCCAGTGCAGCAACATATTTATTTGGCTATTCAGTGCGTTCATTGTGTCAGTGTAGTCTTTGCCTTTTTGTTGAAAACATAAAATGATAGTCCCATGAGGTTTGGTCTACTGAGAATTTATTTAATGAGATTTTTTTCCCCCCAAAATTTGTTTTCATACTGGACATTTTGAACTGCTCACTAGTGATCATTTGATGTTACTGTGATGTGTCTGTCAGCTAATTTAAGCAGGTTTGGTGCTGTCTTCCTAGTGGTGGAGGCAGGATGACAGCGCCATCTACTGGTCAACTTCTGCAGGATAGTATCCCAGGTGTGTGAGAGTAAAAAAGCTCCCTTGTCCCGGTTTATAGATCTGGGTGAATTATTATTATTACTACAAGATGAATGACAAGTACAAATTCTATCAATCTAACAATGGTATACCTGAACTCAAAATCATGGCAAACTAAAACACTCATACATTGTGTAAAGAATCCACAAATCCTTTCAATATCACTGTGTGGTTGTGTGAAATTGTTCATAATTTTGTATAGTTCAATCTCACCTCCCAATAGATCAAGTATACATACATTGTGAAAAGTAAACCATATATTTTTATAGTATAGCAGGCAAGGTTTGTTGTTCTTAACACTTGACCTAGAGACCGAGCTGACACAGAAAAAAGCTAGAAAGCAAGCAACCCAACCCTGGCACTGCTCGAAATTGTTTCCATGACGTTAAGGGGCCGCATCATTTCAATTAGAGTGTGAAGAATGAGCATTACACAGTGACACAGGGTGGCAGAGATAGAGGAGGGGGAGTGAAGAAGAGGAGGAGGAGAAGGAGGAGGGGAGGCTGATGAGCAGTGAAGGTGGCAGGGGGCTGTGGAGAGATGGCACAAACGGCACACAGGCCTCCCTAAATGTGACAGAGGCAGAAATCCCATCCACCGGAGGGACTGGGGTGACACAGCCTGCAAAAATGCACTGGGAAAACTAGGTGAGTGGGGAAGGCAGGAAGAAAATATGGAAAACTATGGAACGACATCGCAGAACATAAAAACTGAAACCATTTGTTATATATCTGTGATATGCATGCTGCAGTTTGGACATGTTTGTTTTCAGGGGAGATTGACAATGTATAACTGCTGTCAAAATGCTGTCACTTACACTGGTATACAAATACTTACAATTCAATTATTTTAAAACAGAAAATAACACCATTTCATCCTGGTGGTTCAAATCCCCAAAAGTTGCAAGTGTAATCTTTCAATTGATACATTGCAGTGACATGCTTGGGGTATCTATCTTGAGTAACAGAGTTTCAGATAGAGTAGTACATTCAGTTAGCATCACACCAAAATGTTGATGACATCAAATATCAGTATGTGAATACTTGCTCATGACAATTTATCCATGTGGCCAAGGCTCAAAGTCCAGCATATTAAACATTTGTAATTCTTTGTTTTCAGGTTTCTTTGTATAACACTTGCCAAATTAAGGCCCAATTATAACCAGATTTGAAAAAAACATGCCTACAAAAGGTTCATGCATACACTATTGCTCACTGATAATTAAAACTTTTCATGAGATAAGCTGTAGTTCCTGCAACAATGCAAATGCATATTGCCTGTGAGTCTTTACATTGTTCTCCATTTTGTGTGTGCAGATCTTGACACACCAGTCCTAACGGTGCACCAGACCATCAGTGATGTGCGGGGCAGTTATTACCAGGAGAAAACTGTGTTTCTGCGTTGTACCGTCAACTCCAACCCTCCTGCGCGCTTCATCTGGAAACGAGGCAGCATGCTTATCGAGCAGAGCAAGGACAACGGAGTGGACATCTACGAGCCATTATACACACAGGTACTGTATACAGTATATCTTCAAAACTACAAGGCACTCTTCTCTCAAGTTATATATATTCTTCACATTGAACTTCTTATTGCTTATAGCAATGTATGTATGTTTTTTGTAGTTTGAAAGGGACAGCTTATTATTATACTCCTAGAGGTACTGGAGTGGCAATTGAAGGCCAGTGGTATGTTCATGTAGTAGTAGCCTATTTACCAAAGAGTATCATGTAAAGTGTTTTTGCTTTTGTCAAAATGCCCTCACCACTACACTGGATGTTATTTAACATATTTACTGTCCTTTTGAAGGTCACTCGGCAGTCACTTACTCCTGAGAATGCCATAACCACTACTGGACTAAAACTTCAGTGAACACAACGTAACATGTTGAACCAAAGGAGAAATTATATATTATATTATTATTATATATATATTGAATTTAATTGAAAACTGTTTTTTTTCCTTTGTGATGGATCCTATCTGTGCCACTCAGGGATTACATGAACATTCTAAATCAAACATGATTACTGCATAAATTTATATTCAGCAACCACTGGAACATAAATAAATTCTTGAATAGCCAGCAGAGGGGAAACAGAAGAGCTGCAATTTTTTAAAATTTCCTTAAACTGTTTGTATATTAGAGGTCTGTATATTCTCTATATATTTTAAACTGCCCTGTACATGTCTCTGCCCTGACACAATCAAACAGTCCACCTAAACCCAGCTAAACTGTCCCTGAGCTGCCTGTGTCAGTGGTGCTTGTCGCACAATTGTTGCTGCTCTTTCTCTCCTCTTATCAAAGCATGAGTCTGCTACAGAGCGTTGCCTCTTGGGTTCAATTAGCCCGGCTGTACGGCTCTTCCCAAGGCTGAGCCAAGACATTGTTAGCCAGCGGCACCTAAAGTACTCCAACAGACAGACAGTTAAAACAAGGCTCCATCTGAGAAATCAGCACCGAGGCCATAAAAGGAATATGATTGCCTTTGTGGAGTGTATATATCAAAGTGAGTGGCAAGCCAAAGTAATACACATGAGTAGATAGTGGAGAGCACTGTTTAAATTGTGTTATTAAAATCACTTATTTGATTTACACTTGCTCTAGGCTATTGTCACTTGAATTTCAATATTCTTGATTCTTTTAAGTTTTCATAAACATACTGTGCTTGTTTAAACAAATAAAGAAGGCTTTATCCAGAGGCACTGTATTCTGTTCATGTTGGTACTATCCATTAAACTGTCTATTTGGGTCAAGGGGTAGTTGAATCGGTGCCTGAAAATTGTACTTTACAGCAATAGAATTATGATGGCCAGGGTGCATTAGTGCTCTGCCCTTCTATCTCTATGGAGTCTGTGTGCCAATGGTGGAAAGTAATGAAGTACAAAAGTAAAAGGACTGTATTTGAGTATAGTTTTTAGGTATCTGTACTTCACTTAAAATTAATCTTACAGTGGATAGTTTTACTTTTAATTCACTTCATCTGAGAGCAAGTATATTTACTTTCTACTCTGCAGCATTTTTGTACAGAACTGAAAAGTAAAAAAAAAAGCACTTTTCATTTGATTTGTGGGGTTGTTTTTAGTATTTTTATAAAATACTTTTATACAGTTTTTTGACTCCACATCTGTCCTTTTACTTCAGTATAGGACTTTGTCTCAATTACCAGTTATCATGATGTTTCTCAGATTTCTTTAGGTCTCTAATGACATAGTGAACCTTTAACAAAGTATGTTCATCACAGATAAATGTCAGTGTGTCTGCAAGTGTCAACCTTATGCCAACTGTGTTACTAGCAACAGCTAGTCAAAGCTCATCTTTGTTTTTGAACACCACCAGCAGTATCTGGGCTGACCCTTGTGTTTATTTCAGTACTTACACATACAGCCTTGTGTGTATGTCTCCTTCAGGGTGAAACTAAAGTCCTGAAGCTCAAGAACCTCCGACCCAAGGACTTTGCTGACTACACCTGCCAAGTGTCGGTGAGGAATGTGTGCAACATTGAAGATCGCTCAGTTACTTTCCGCCTCACTAATGCTACAAGTAAGTGCTGCTTCTGTGGCTGCATTATATCCTCTCATCTTCAAATGCCCCTCCCCTTCTGTGTTTTGTCTTGCTCCTCTGTGTTTTCCCTGGCCTCTGACTCCCAGTGTGCTATGGAGCCTCCCTCTCTGTCTGACTGTCTGTCTCTTCTGTAGCTGAGCTCATCTTGGGGCCGTCAGCTGTAATTCACTTGTCACAGTCCCTGTTATCTCCAATTCACTCGACAGTGCTCTGTCCGTCTCCATGCCACCAGCTGCAACTGCACAACCCTCCACCATGTTGTTGCTGGTGACAACACTGACAGCTTTGTTAAAAGCAGACTGATGTGCCACAAGGACCTCATTTTCTATTCTGTTTTCTTCATTTTTCTCTCCAAAGAAAGTATAAATTTTGTATTCCAATAGTTATTTTTTGCAGCTCTTTAATAGAGTAAAGCATAGCCAGCTCTTACCCCTGTTCAGTATCACAGTAACTCTGATATGTCGGTCTCCTCATACTGAGCAAACAGCAACACTGCACACACAGTACTTATTCAGATGGACAAGACAAGTATTCAGCTAATGTCTTTGGTCTAAATGATGGAACTGATATCTGAAATGTATTTTGCATTATTATGACATGCTTTGTTTCAGTGCGACTATCTGAGTCCAGATCAAATTCAGAAACCTTTATTGATTCTTCACCATTGTGACATTTGGCTTATGCCTTTGCAGGAGACACTCTCCAAGTTGTGTTCTGTCTTTCAGCTAAAACAAAGATTCACTAAGCAGTGTTTTGAGCTTTGACTGGACAATACAGGGTTTTCTCTACATATAGGGTCCTGTCTGCACCTCTACTAACAAATATTAGAAAGTTCAACATAAACGTGAATGCAAGTTTTGGTATACATTCTGATTCCTGAGTTGTCTGTAGGAAATGCCCATCTCTAAAGGCCTCCTCTGTGCATTTCTGGACCCATGTGGTCTCAGACACTGTGTGCGTGTGTGTGCGTATGTGTGTGCGTGTGTGTGTGTGTATGTGTGTGTGTGTGTGTGTGTGTGTGTGTGTGTGCGTGTGTGCGTGTGTGTGTGTGTGTGTGTGTGTGCGCGTGTGTGTGCGTGCGCACGCGCGCGTGTGTGTGTGTGTGTGCGTGTGTGTGTATGTGTGTGCGTGTGTGTGTGTGTGTGTGTGTGCGTGTGTGTGTGCGTGTGTGTGTGTATGTGTGTGTGCGTGTGTGTGTGTGTGCGTGCGTGTGTGTGTGTGTATGTGTGTGTGTGTGTGTGTGTGTGCGTATGTGTGTGCATGTGTGTGTATCTGTGTGTGTGTGTGTGTGTGTGTGCTGTGTGCTGTGTGTGTGTGTGCGTGTGTGTGTGTATGTGTGTGCGTGTGTGTGCGTATGTGTGTGTGTATGTGTGTGTGTATGTGTGTGCATGTGTGTGTATGTGTGCGTGTGTGCATAGATGCAGATTTCATTTTGTCCGACACAGTATTAGTGTAATAGTTTTGTAATTCTCCCTCTACTGTAGGTTAGTAAGCTCTTATGTTGATCCTAGCAGGTCCAGTTATGACTGTGGATTCTCTACAAAGGGACAGGGGGATTGATTGATTTTTCCATCATAATCCCTATCTGGGATTTGGGTTTGCTGTTTCCTTTGTCGGCTAGAGTGAGTGAAAATCCAGAAAACAACATTTTCTTTCTTTCTATTTATTTATTTATTTTGATTTTTATATGATGAAACAGAGAGTGGAAAGGCCTGTTTCTCTTTTGTTGTATTTTTTACTTATTACTTTAGTCTATTTAGTCTATTTTAATCATATTTTAATCAGTTATATTTTCCTTATTAGTATAAAATAACTACCACATAACTTTTTTTATTTATTGTATTTAGAATATATACTTTTTTAGTATATGTTACATATTTGATATTATAGTCTACAATTTACTGTACATGATGAGATCAATGAAGGCTGTATTGTGTATTGTGTTGTGTGTAAATCCTACCTCAGAAACGTTGAGGATCAATGGCCAATCTGCAGTAACCTTAGTGCTGTAAAATCACTTTGGATGGAGGCTGACAGCATCTGTTCTCTCTCTTTTATGTCGGACTATAACTCAAATATGTGATGTCTTCAGCACAATGAAAAAGACCAAATCGGAGAGGAATGTATTGAATTTTCCCTAGACAATACATAATAACATTTAGACTGGCTTGATTCCTGCTGCCTATCTCTGTGGTGAGCCTGTGTCGTGCCTTCCAGTGGAATTCCCGCTCTTTTAAACTCATCTGTCTGCAGTGCCCTGTCCCAGAGCAGTCCAGTGCAGGGATCAGGGTGGGGAGATCCAGCCGTACCACTGGCAAGAATCAATTTGCTTGTAAGGCGCCTTTGATCATTTCTGGGGAAGTTAGTGAAGGAGGTTTTTAAGAATCTTGGTTGAACTTGTGTGGACTTTGCATTTGACCTTTTCCATGCTTAAAACTCATTGCTTTAATTACCAAAGGAGCTGTGAAGAGGCTGGGTACACTCTGGGTTAATGAACTGCTCTGGAGTCTATTGTCAGTCAGAAGTTTTACTGCAGAGTGGATGACTCTTCTGAAGTTTTGAATATTTTTGATTATAAATAAACTTTAAATCACACATTTTCAAAATATGTAATTCTGATGTACTTTTTGATATGAATATGAATATGATGGAGGGTCCACCACTGTCATTATACACCTTGTTTGTCTCCATGGAGATAGTATTGCTTTGCCCTGGAATGTCTGACATTATGGCATTACAATTATCTATCTCCTTACAAAGCACATGCGCCGCCAGGCCAAGTTACAGGTCTGATCTGTGGAGAGACAAGCCCACTCACAATTAGAGTACATGTTTTTCTATGCACACTATGATTGAATGAATAGATATGTTTAATGCCATACTGTGGAACATTCTAGTTAAAACAGTAACATCTTCATGGAGACAAGCAGATGGTGGATTATTCACCAGAAAAGATACATATTGCACACTTAAAACTATAGTGATATAGACAAAATTATTTAACTTATTTTTAAACTAAGTTTAAATGATTTAAATGATTAAATTATTTAACTAAATAATTTAACAGTTATTTCCAAAAAGGTGAGAATCCAATGAATTTACACTAACACTAACATGCTGTTTTCGAATGTGTAAAGACATTGCTTTTTTCTAATTAGTGTAGTTAGTGTGTTATTTCTTATATTCTTAAGGCTATGCAATAGTACACAGTAGGCTTGTGGAATTGTCTTTGCCAGGACCATTTCCTGAATGTTTAGCCTTTATCTGATGAAGCCATAGAAAAACAACAGATTTATTGAGCGTGATATCGAAGGAACAAGCAAGTCATCAGCCCCAAAAAACTCACCAAGAAGCAGAAAGAGCAGCGGAGGGAGGTAAAAAAGACAGATATTGAAGATATAAAGGTGACAAAATGACAGAGAGAGAAAGGACGGGGGGAGTAGCGAAGTGTCTAAGCGCCAGAGAGAGGCATTTGTTACCTGGTTGTAAACCGCTGTGCTGCACATAAATCCCATTACTTTGGGAAGAGCGCTGGCTGATCCCACCGTTAACGTCACCCACGCAGACCTGGGAAATTGAAGCTATAATTTTCAAATCCGCCGTTCCTCTCGTGCTCCACTCAAACTATTCCTTTTTTTCTTTTTACTCTTGGCTTAGACCTTCACTACACTTTACTATATTCTGTTCCTGTTATTAAAGGAGACATATTATGCAAAATTATAAAAGCTTTTATCCATGTTATAATGAGTGTCATGAAGTCATTCAAAGTTGTAATTTGAGTGATTCATTCATGTGTGAGTAATCTTTATTCTCCTGTATTTGAGACTCCATTGCTCTGAAAGTACCTGTATAGCCATGGCATTTGAGATTATGTTATTATTAAATTATATGAGCTGTGCACTTAAAGGTCACTTGAAGTGAACTTGTTTTCCAAGGCAACCATTATATATGTTGTGACACATGGGACTCTTCAATTATTTTTACTGTCGACAACACAAACTAGAACTTCAGTGTCACAGAACCTCATCTTTTAGAGCTGTTCACTTCAACAATAGTAATATTTTATTAAGCAAAACCCCTTGAGATGCATCATCTCTTTTTAGGGGGGGTCCTGGTGGACCTTAAAGTAATTATTTGTGTTTGAGATATTTGTATACATTTATTTAGTGTTCTGTTCTTTACATTTTGGCACCTTCCACTACAGAAATATACAATAAGCAACAGTGATATAGAGCTGTATCTCTCCTCCATTCTGGCAATTGCAATCACTTTAAAAGAGATTAGTTGAAAGGATGAAGAGCATGAAGTCTATTAGAGGAATGGATAGCTGGGTCACTCATGTAGGATTATGTTTTGGATTGCCATGTCCTGTTTATCTCCTAAAGAAGTAACCCAACATAACACTATGCCACTACTAAATGTCATATTAAATTATATTATATTAAAATAATTGTATTGTTTTGATATTTCCCTTATAGAACTCTGGAAAAACAAATTAAATTGATATTCTTTAGGATAGGAGCAAAGCTAAACAGTTGTGCCCCTGGTGTTTTGACTGTACCTGATGAGAATGGGGGCAACCTTTAGAGCTCACCATTTCTCTGAGCAGCATTTAGGGAACTGATACAGGTGACATTTGGTTACAAGCTCATTTGTCTCAAAGTTATCCTCTTCACCCCATTTACCCCCGGGGCAACTTATGCAAAATCACATTTTAACATGTCGCTGATAGATTTATAAAATGTGTTTTTCAGTGACGCAAAACAATATAACACATTAAATTTGGTATTTTAAAAGGTTTGTATTTTAAAGATGCATCTGGAATATATAATTTATATTCCTGAAAATGTCAGTAAGATTCTGTGGTGAAACAACAAGCCCAGCAATTCTGAATTCCCAAGTCATAATATATAAATTGAAGTGTTCTTCATATATATATAATCTAAAAGAAGATGAATGAAGATATTAATTGAAGAAAATAAAATACAAAAGTAATGAATAAACATGATTTTCTGTAAACAACACGCCAATCCACACAATCTGTTGCCATGGTGTAAACGACCTCTGATTACATGGCACAGTTGCTTTGTTGTTCCAGTGGAGTCGCAGTTTGGAGAGAGGAAATCACAGCAAACGAGGTGCTAAAGACGTGTAAATCTTTGTTGAATCTTCACAGCTCAAATGTGTATTGTATAATTCAGAAAAATGGGAAAAATCTTCATAATCATGGGAACCTTTTCTCTAATCATGTGCACTGCACTGTTGTTCATGAGGCTATTCCACAGGCTCTTCTGCATTCAAAGCCACAGTTTAGATGAAAACGCTCTCTCAGCTCTGCTTGTCCACAGTTATGTATGGACTGGTGCGTTTGCCCCTTACTTCCACTGCTCTGGCCCTTGTTGTATTTTGAAACCACTTTGTGTTGAATCGATCTTTGTCTGGGACTGGGTTTTTTCCCCAGTGCAGCTGCATTTGGGGTCATCCTGTTCTTGTGCTGTGAGGTCATTCATACAACAAGACACGCTGGCTCGAGCTCTGGATACACTCCAACTGCTTTAGTGAAGCTTTTGTACAGAGCTTTTCAAATAAACCTGAAACAAATGCTTTAAAACACTCAATACATTAATAAATGGATACATAAATAAAAGTGTGATTCATATTCTTTCTCCTGACACAGAGATAAGAAAAAAACTTGTCTGTAAACATGCACTGCTGTTATGACAGCTGACAGCTACAACACAAACATTTGGTAAATATTTTTCCACTTCTTATTTTTGGTCATAGATGGTGATGTGGAAGCAGCTCTCTTTGAACTGTCTAATAACAGGAGATAACAATCAAAAAATTTCAGTTGTTATATAGACGGATATACTGTATAACAAACTGTACAAATCTCACCCAGGAGACTTGTACAGATCGAAAACTGAACCTCCTAGAAAGGAATTGACCAGAAACTAAATGTTATTAGTTGAGGTGGATTTTAGGACATTAAAATGTGCTCCAGTGTGAGTGGGGTAGCCATTACTAAACTCATACATCCTAACATGAAAATGCTCCTTTTGTTTGTGTGCAGCTCCTCCAATGATTCGCATGTCTGTGAATGACACAGTGGTGGTGGACCCTGGGCAGGATGTCATCATCACCTGTGAGGTGACAGTGGGCTTCCCACCTCCCACAGTCACATGGTCCCGCTCGCCAGGGCCCCTCCCCCTCAGCGCCCAGGTCAAAGGTCAAACTCTGATCCTGAGGGCTGTTACCCCAGCAGATGCAGGCTTCTACAACTGTTCTGCTGTCAACAATGTGGGAAATCCAGCCCGCAAGAATGTCCAACTGGTTGTTAGATGTAAGTATTTGGATGCATGGGAACATGGATAATATTCAGATAAACCTTGTATAAAATTCTACAAGTATTTAGGAAGGTTAATTATAACTCTATTTTGGACATATGCATGCCGTGATCAGAACAGCAAGTCCCCTCAGAATGGGCGTGCTCTTTTTGTTCTTTCTACATAATGCCTGCCATTAAATCCAAGGCTTCCCCGTTCTCCCTGCTTCTAGCTTTTTTTAGCCTATTTAATCGTCTTTATTCACTCCAATTAGTTAGACTGAAGTGGAAGCAATTAGCAACAGTGTCTTCTGTTAGTAGACACTGTAGCGCGAGCATATGCCGAATGGGTTTCTCCTGTTAGCTTAATGGGCCTGAACGCATCGTCACACAGAACAGGTGGGAAGACACGCACATGCTAGCTTTTCATGCTTCTCTGGGACACTACATTGACTTACATTCATTTGATCACGTCATAACCAGTTACTGCTTGATTTTTGTCCCCATAATGGAAGCAGCTCCCTATGTATTTACTGTGTACAGATTTAAATTTGCATACTGATAGATATCTCTCCCCCCACATGATGAATTTACTGGAGATTGAGCTTTAACAGTTACTACTTGCCTAACTTTTTACTACTTGCCTAATCTAAAACCGTCTTAACCATGTTGCTGATTTAATATGTATAGTTGAGTGTTCGTACGGATGCTATTCAGTCCCCACAGTGCGATGCATACCTACACACAGGGGCACGTTGGTATGGCTTGCATTGCAGGGACGTACACATAGAGAGTAAAAAGCTGCAGGATCAATTTAAGCCTGGACAAAGTGGCTCCACTGCAGCAGCTTGTTAACAAACCCAAAGCAGAGTAGAATCTCTTGTGGTTGTCACTGGGGCCCATCTCACGTGAGGCTTGTTTGGTATTCAACATGGAGATGTGTTGGGGAGGTGCAGTCTTTGATAGTCCAAATGAAATGTGACAGTAGCAGAGTTAGTCTTTGTCCTTGATTCTGTTCCCTGTTATTTCATTGTGTTGGCTGCTTTAGTCTCTTTCCCCTTCACTTTGCTCCTGCCGCCTCCATTTCTATCTCACTTTTGTTTTTTGTGTGGGTTTATTTGTGAGTATATCCCGCCTCATGCTCTGAATGCTGTTTTTCCTGTTCACATATTGTCTTCATATGTTGCTTTTATTATTGTATTGAGCTTTTTGATATAAAAATAAAATATGTCATTGAAAGCTTTTTTTCATTCCATGTTTTCCAGTTACAAATAAACATAGTAAGAAAACACATGCAAGTACACGTAGCCTGCTATATATATATATATATATATATATATATATATATATATATATATATATATATATATATATATATATATACATGTTCGTACACGTTTAGATTTTTAAGTTTGATCATTGCCTTCTTTCTGTTTTATTTTTTTGTGCATCTTTATCCTTGCCTATAAATATTCATATCATCTGTCATTTGGTCTGTTATAATATGCCTTGGAAATAGGGGACATATTTTTGCCACTACGAGAAAACTTATTTTGAGAAGATAAATAATATTTTCTGAATGCATGATCATCTGTAACTCAATAAATAAAACTGAATTTGATTAAGGCTAGTATTTCATCCTCCTATTTTTCAGCGATGAGCAACTTAACCTTCCAGATCACGCCTGACTCTAACAAAGATGGGGAGTCCATTCAGATGACCCGTGACCTGAAGCTCTCATGCCACGTGGATGCCACTCCTCAGGACAAGGTCAACTACACCTGGTACAAGAACGGAGCTCCCATCTTTAACTCGGAGAATGTGGTTCTGCTCAAGTCTGACCCCGACATGGCCCCAGGCACCAGCAGTCTGGAGATCTTCGACTTGAAGTTCAGAGACCTGGCTGTCTACAGCTGTGTGGCCAACTTCCCCGGCAGCCGAGTGCCTGAACTCCGAGTGGACATGAACATCTCACAGAACAGCGGTGAGGATGCAGGCATTCTAGTGCAACTGTTTTCATGGTTTTGTCATAAAGAAATACATGCTCAAAACTGTAATGTTTGAATACACAAAATATTGTGTATATAATATATGTATGAACAGATGAAGAAAAATACATTACTGATCAGGTAGGTAGGCAGCCAACCTCGAGGAAGTTAGAGCTACAGCTGTATCTTACCACCTTCAAATATGGATAATAAACGAGTGTTAAGTGTCTTTGAGTGTGCAAAACAAAGCTGTGTAAACATGACACATATGTGTGCATAACACTGCTGTGCTGTAAAAATCCAAATTTTTTCATCTCTTATTTTTTGTTTCTCCAGTGACTCCTCCTATCCTGTCTTTGCCCCCTGGTGGACAGATGGTGAGTGTGCGAGAGGGTGGTAACACTGAGCTGGTGTGTTTGGTGGATGGAAAGCCTCCTCCTCCAATCCTGTGGTCTCGTATGGAGAAGGACCTGCTCATGCCCAATGGGAGGCCTCAGGTGGAGACAGCGGACGGCCGCCTGAGGCTGAGAAACGTGAGCAGAGACCTGATGGGGGTGTACCGCTGTCAGACGGCGCCCTACAACGGACTCAACATTAAGAAACGAGAGATGAATGTGCAGCTTAATGTTCAGTGTAAGTCCCAGGATCACCCTCGCACTTCCATTACTTTTGCTTCAATATACGTTCATGCAGAGGGACATTTTCAAACACTTCCACCTGTATTAACATTGGAGAGAAGACTGAAATATTAACTGTTAAATGAATAAAATAATTCATTTGGAACAACTAAAGAGTGAATAGGGTTCCTCTTTCTATAATATTTTTGCCAGTATTTTTAAAATTGGACAATCTATTGCGTAAATAATTGCAGTCTTTGCAATTCGTTGATTGCTCTCACTCAAATAGCTTTCTTTTCCATTGCGATATATTGTGCAAGCCGACTATATGGAGTAGAAGTGAGAGAAGTAATAAGGCTCTGAATCATACAAGGATATCTGAGATGAGATCTTTTGCGTTTGAAACTGCGCCGCAGATAAACGGCTGTGATTAGTTGTCCATAAACTTGAGGAAGTAGAAGTACTTGATGTGAGGTGGGACCTAGATCACTCCAACTTTTCAAAAAGATAGTAGGACGGGCTGGCTTGTAAATTCACCTTCCTCCGACATAGAGGCTGACCAGTCTGGTGGTTGGTGGGGAAATGTAGAATGTGTCTAGTAAAATCACCTCACCCTACTTGAATGAAAATATATAAGCCTGAGTTACTTTCCAAGTCAGGAAATCAAACACTGACACCGACTTTGAAATTCAACTGAAATACTTAGCTTCATCTAGTCTAGTGTGATTGTATGAATCTTTAATGATCTTAGACAAGTTGGAATGTGGTTGTTGTGACAGTAACAGAGTGGAGAAGGCAAAATAAAAAGAACACATCAACTCAGTGGGTGACACGAAATATGCAGGGAAGCTGTGTAAAAATAAGCAATGGAAATAGAGGTTGGTGTATTGCAACTGATAAATGTGTTACATCCTGCCATCTCTGTGCTTTGGGTAATGTCAAAAATATTCATACAAGTAACTTTTCATTTATACTATGAAAATAATATATATATTTTACACTTTAACTGTAGTTTAAAAAAAAAAAACAGTTGAGAAAAAACCTGTTCAAAGATCTAGAAATAACCTGTACTTTTACATTCAAAAGCCGACCAAGGAGCTCAGTCATTTCAGAACACTTAGGATTGACAAGAAATAGAGGAGAATCTATTAGCAATAATGAAACATTTGAGCAACATTTTGTGTCCAAGGGAATTACTCATAATAACACTTCATAAAATACACTCAAGACATTTATTACTGCTGATTGCAGTGTACAATCAGGTCCAATAATAAAACCATTATATATCAATATCATTATGGTGCTATAGTTATAGAACAGTCTACTCAGCTGCAAGGAAACAATGAAGACAGGAAAATGGGTATCTTAGTGTTGAAACTGAAAACAGATTTTCACATAAAATGCTGGAGCTGACTTGTTTAAATACTAGAAGTGAGAAAGCAGGAGGTTAGTACTGAAAAACAATTTATATTTTTGTTTTCTCCCGTTTCTATTTATTTAGATGCTAAAGTACATCCTTACTAAAGATAACTTTTCCTTAATAGAAATTGCTTGAATGTGTTTCCTGAAAGGCTGAAGCAATTGGTTGGTTCTTGCTGAATTGTGACTTGTAATCTCGCTTGAGACCTCATGTTTTTACAGATCCATCCATCAGCCTGCTTTAGGTGAACTAGTGATAATAAAAAATAGGAGACTGTCCAAAATGACAAACAATTTTTTTTTCAATATGTATTTCCTGAACATGAACAACACACAGTTTTATCCATTAAAAAAATTCCAATTTTCTTCTTCCGAAGTATGAACTCTGCTCCAAACTACATGCTTTTACAGACAAAAGATTGACTATAAACCTCTCCATTAAAAAGACACAGACAGTTAGAAATGAGTGAATATCAGTCTTGATTAAAATGTGATTAATTGCACAGATCTTGTAAAAATGCCCCAGTATTACCCTTAATTGTCAACTTTGTGACTAAGACATGTCTATGACCCAAGAGTACACAGTTTCCAAATGGGAGTGGTAATGTGATGACCATCGCTTCTCCTCCTTTTATTTCCTTGTCCATCCATTCTCCTCCATCAGATGCCTCCACTTAGCGCTGTTGATCAATCCCAGGATAAGATCATTTTTCATTGCAGATTATAATTAAGTGGATATGCCTCCCACACTTCCCACCTTCCTTCTTTCTCTCCCTCCTTTACATGCCCAGTGCCATCTTTCCCCTCGGAGCGGAGTGACTGTTCTTCCTCATTGCCATTCTCATCATCATCAATCAGCGAGTTGCCGGCCATGGGAGAGGACCCTTCTCTGTCTTGTCACTCTTTTTTTTTGCTTCCTGCATCCTTTTCTCCTCTTCGAGCCACACGCACTCCATCTTCCATTTCTCTCACACCACACTTTCCTCGTCATTTGTCTTCTTTATTGTCTTTCTTCCTAAAGAGGTGTTTCTCATGTCCCCCTCACCCCCACCACTCCGAGCCTCATGTAAATTGATTTTGCTGTTGTGTACTGTAAATGTTTGCCTTGGTCAGTCTTGCGTTCTTGGACGGATTCCATTTTGCCGCTTTAGATGAGAGTGATTTGTTGTGTCTTTACATGGTTTATGGGCTTATGACTAAGACACATTGCAGCGGAGTTCTCTCTGAACTTACAACGTGAAAAAAATAAATAAAGAAAGAAAAGAGAAAGTGTTTTCATTCAGCAATAATGAAACTACTACTAGATCAGTATTTACCAAAAAAAATCAAGCACATTATTACGACATAACACAAATTCTGGCCAGTTAATGAGTCTAGGCACCAAGTTGACATTTTAGCCTGAAAGTTCATGTAGAATCAAGATAAATGGGCAATTAAAGATATGAGTAATTTTGACTAACTCGCAATGGTTTAACAACTGGGCCAGACCATCCGCAAAACCACAACTCTCGCTCCCAGGCTGTGCAGTTGTCAGCATGTATTAAAAGGAGTACAGCAAATCTAAAAGGTTTTGGGACATTTTGTTAACACGACTATTAAGCACATTATAGACCAAAGATATAATCAAATGAGTGCTGTGTAGGAGTAAACCGTCATCACGTCCCTCCTGTCATCATGTATTCAAAGTCAGAGCCACATGTTTATGCGTATGTGTGCCCGATATGTGACCACACACTAATCAGCCTGTGGGATTATCGTCTGACCTATGACCCCTGAACCATTGCTCAGGCCTGTCACATGGGAGGTAGCAGACTGGCCTTCCATGCATTGATGTATATTCATAGGTATAAGTATTGAGGAGCCACTGGTACATATGGAATAGTAACATAGTTTGCGATGTGAAGATCTAGTAATAAGTAACAAAATTAAAAAATAATAAAATAATATGAGCTCTAAATATACTTTCTACCAGGCAACAGATCTGAGTGTATCTTTGAACATAGACAAGAAAATTCTATGCGTTTTAGGCCCCATCCACACTAGTACATATTCGAGTTGTTTTCGTTGCGGATGCAGTGTTCATCCACACTAATCCGATTGAAAACGACTCCAGAGATGGAACGATCTGGTGCCGCCAGCTCCTATACGAATTCATCTGAGTATGAATCTGATCCGGCATCGTGTGGATGCCTGAAAACGTTGATATGCTGATGTAGGTCTATGCGCCACAAAGTAGGCTAATTCACCACCAAAGTGCTAAGAGGCTAGAATATATGTCCATTCATATATACAGTCTATGTGTACGACCTGCAGATGTATAATCTCGATATGCAATAGAAGAACAGAACAAAGTCACCATTAGAAAAACAACCGTCTCTCACAGAAAGAACACATATAATCCACTGAGTCATGTCCTTTAGTCTGTCAGAAGCTGAACCACATCAGCACACTATAGCGAGCTTTTTTTTGAGCTCTTAGTTTATGCAAGTTAGCCATGCGGTTTCAAGTTTAATTTCTGTAAAAACATAAACATATATGGTCAAAGCTGTGTAGACAGGTAAGGCTTGCGGACACAGAAACGAGTCAGTCCACGCTCTGAGCCGCCATGCTCGTCTTAAAATCCAGTGTTATGCAAAGTAACAACTGAACCTCGTCGTCGGTCCACGAAAAGACTGTTTTTACTCTTGCCATCTCCCTCGGCTCAAAATCATCTGCTGCAACTTCAGACTTCCTTGTTTTTACTGCTCACGTGATGTCGAGACATCGTGACACCGTGACATCAGCCTATCACGTGACCTGTGTTTCAGGCGGTTTTGCGTTACTGTGTAGACAGGGAAGGCTTTGATTGCGGGTACAGAAATGACTTGTCTGGACGCAGATCGTTTCCGATACGGTGATACGGTGATACGTGGATTAGTTTCTGTGTAAACGAGGTCGTAGATAAGTATTATAAAATCATTGGAAAAAAATCTTAAAAGTAGGCATTATTATTACAAATTCCAGGATTGTATTTTGTCAGCATTTCCAGACAGTTTCCTTGTTGCTTGCCTCCATCTCTCTTCTCTCCTTCCTCCGCATCCTTCCGCATCTTTATCAGTCTAATTTGGAGGCATAACATTGATTAGTTTATAATTACACATCTGTGCCTGATGAACCTGATTCATGGGAGACTCCAGTCATGTAGCCTCTCCTCGGGGGGCCTTAACACTGGATCTCGTCACCATTACTTCCCTGCTCCTGCCATTAGCATCTTGTCTATTATCTTCATGATTAGCCAGGGGTGAATCGTGTGGGCTGTGATTTGTGGCGGAGTAATTTGGCTGTGTTGTGCGTCAGCTGACCCCAGGGCGGAGGCAGAAACAGCTAGTCAGTTATTAGCTAGGGAGCCATGTGTCGTGCTGACAGGTTAATTATGGCTGGTTAGGTTAGGTTAGCAGCACAAAGAGATGGCCCTCTGGCAATTAACATTTGTTCTGTGTCACATCATGTAGGAAAGCAATAAGGGCGGGAACTGTGAGGTGATAAGCTGGGAAATAGACAGGGAGTAGTATGAGCTGCCTGCTAATACGTGCTGGTGCTCATAAATTCTCATATAAATGTAAATATGCAACTGCAACTCAAAAAATAGGAAGTGAAAGAAGCTGTCTTACTTTTTTGTATTTGAAAGTCAGCCTTCCGTTCCGAACAGTATATACCTTGAATGGTAAATGTACACATACACACAGTGATAGCAATTAATTCAGTTTTCAATTATACTCATGAAATTTTGCTTGTTGAAAAAATACCGCATCGCCATGGAGACAAGAAAGACAGATGAGACAAGAAAGACAGATCTGTGAAGCAACCAATAACATATCAGTGGAGACAGCAGGCGCAAGACTTCCAACCAGAAAAGTGGCATAGTTCACCTTTAATAAGTTTTTCAGAATCAGAAAGTTGTATTTCCATATTCTGTGAACAAAATTCACAAACTCGTACCTGGGTGGTATGATGCAACATAAAACAATGATTAATTATAGTTAAAATATAAAGTAAGGGTATGCATAAAAATAAGGTGTTCAATGTTTTAAATTGTGTTTCAGATCCCCCAATCTTAGACCCTGTGTATCAAGACGTGCGCTCTCGGAATTACCAAATGGTCACCCTGAGATGCAGCGTCCTGCGCGCGAACCCTTCTCGCCTCACTGATATCCGCTGGTTCCGGAATGGAGACTTCATCCGGATGCCCATGCCGGACCTGAAGGAAACCCCAGAACTCAAATTAAAGCTGGAACCCACCAACAATGGCTCCTATGAGTGCAGAGTAAGCAACAGTGCCGGAACATCCACATGCACTTTTAATGTCTCTGGTGAGTGAAAGCATCAAAGTTGTATCTGTGAAAAAGATTGCAATTAACATTTATTTTCTGGCTGTTATGTGTTTATTTAAGAGCTTGGCACAGAGTAATGCGTTTTGGTTTGGATGTTCACAGCACAGCCTTATAACGCAGAATTCTACTTTGACACACCAAATCCAGTGCGAATTCTTAAAGGAAACAACTATTCCTACAATCTGCAGTGGACACAGAGAGACCCAGAGGCCACAGACCGGATCATTGGCTACTGGATAAACGTTCGCAAGGTAATAAAAAGTAACTACTTGACCAAAATGGTAAAATGATGTCCACTTGGCTTTAATCATAGTAAATGTCTGTCTTATCTGTGTACAAACGGTGAATGGTCGGGCTGAGAACTCATTTTGTGCAAGTGCATGTGGTCTGCCAGTGAGCACTCCAGTCTCCAGTGCTAAGTAAACACATGGCTTTATGAGCTCAGGGAGAGTCAAGTGTGTGTGCAGCCAATCAATGGCCATGTACACTGCTGAATTACAACTATGCACATCTTCTCTCATTTCTCTAGTCTGAAGTATTGCCACTACTGCTGTTACAGCCAACATTAAGACTGAACATTGACCATCTGTACTGTTTTGGATTGTTTTATTTATTACCTCTCTCACACATCTCTCATGATCATCTGTAGGAATGCACTTGCAATACACAATTGTCTCACAGACCACAATTAAGTGAATGGTAGGAGTAAAATAACTAATTACTTGCCACATCTGATTGGAATTGAGTGCAAACCTTCTCTCACAAGTACAGTTTGGTGAGATTCCTATGCTGTTCTTCACATATCCCCGATTAGCTCATAGTTTTTCTCTGGTATTGCTGCTGACCCATAGCAGAAGGCAAGCCATTTCTTAAGTATGTATGCAATAAGATACTGCAAATAGTTTGTACATTAGTGAACATTACATTCATAATATTTTTAATAGATTTATTATATTTACTATATTGCAGGCTTGACACCCATTGCTATCTACTTCTGTAGCCTTAGCTGCTCTTTGCCAAACTGATGGTAACACGGCTGCCAATCTGTGGCAACTGTCATTCTAACCACCACAAGTTGTTTAATTATAATTTCAAACAAATATTGTGCAGTATGTAAGTCTTACATTTATGGTCTTCTATCTGCGTATCATTTTTTTTCTTCCTCTTGGACCAAACTGCACCATAAATCACTACATCCTATTGAGTCCCTGACATGAAATTGGAAACCCCTGTTAACAGACCAGCCTTAATTCACCCCTGTGTTGTGCCCAGATCTATTTATAGATTAGTGTCCTTAAATCACAATAGCAGAAGGATAATAGTGAATAATACAGCAGAGAGCAGGCTAAGAATGTTTATGCCTGCATTTGTGTGAGACAGAGGAGCAGAAGGAAACGCCGGGTCTGCCAGCTTGCCTTAGTGCGGATGAATAGCTAATTCCCACACTACTTTAAGAGTTGGCTGCTTACCTTATTAAGTAAGACTCATGAGACACACAGAAATGAGCAGTTGCCATACCAAGATAAGACAGCATGTGTTCAAAAAGATTCTTCTTCCTTTTCACAATTTTGTGCAATTTCGACTATTTTCTGCATTGTCTTTTTAAGCAATCTACAATAGCAGCCAGGATATTTTGTGTTAGAAGCAGCTGAAACAGGTCTAATAAATACTTTCCACAGGTTGTAGCTCTAAAATTGATTTAACGCGTTGTGAAGATTTTCCTCAAACTTGGTTAAATTCTATTTCAGCTGCCGTGTATTTTACCTGCTGTTTTTATGTATGCATCGGAGGCAGGCAAACAAAAGCAAAAAGCAGATGGCGAGGCAGTGAATAAAAGAGTGTGAAAAAGATAAATAAGATGCAAATGAAAGAAAAACAGCAGATCTCACTGGTTCTCTGGAGTATTAAATAGAGTAGGAGAACATTTGAATGTAATACTGTCTCAATTTCACAAGCCATCTATTTCAGCTGCACTTTCCACAGCTCATCCTCTTAACACCCTGACACTCTTCTTTTTAGCACATACAAAATGATGCACAGTCTCAGTGGAGATGTGCGTGCATTCACACACACACACAGACACACACACGCACGCACACGCACACACACGCACGCACACACGCACACATGCACACACAAATTCACAATATGTTATAGAGACGATCAACACATCAGGCCCTGTAAAGGAGCCTCGCACAATCCACCTCTGATGTGACCATGTGTTTCACTAGTTTCTATGGTTTCCTTTGTATACCTCCAATGTCTGATTAAAATGTACTGCAAAATACCTAAGCATTTGGAGAGCACAGACTTCTTTTTGCAGACTCCTTGGCCATATGTATGTTGTATAAAAGATACTGAATGACTCTAATAAATGACATACAGATATTTGACAATGGAGAAATAAAATCATTGTTTATGTTGTTTTAGTATCATGTATCAGGCTTCTTAAAGGGTCCATATATACACATTCACACATGTTTAACAAACAAATCCTGCATCATTAGTTCTTTTCTCAAACAGAAAACACTCCTGGCATCTTGGCATCACATGATAGGCTAGCACATGTCAATGGCCATAGTTAGCCTGCCACTAAAAACAGTCTTACCCACTCCACAAAGCACCCAAAGCAAATTTATTATTATGCCAGACTGTCCATGTTAATGTCTATGTTGATAGAATAATGTTTGAAATAAAATTAACCTTGCATCGCATGAATCATTGCATGTTGAGGGACTATTTTCTCATATATCAGTCTGCCACTGCCAAGCTTTCTATCAGGAAGTACAACTCGCTGCTACTGCTCAGACAGAAATCCTTCAAATGCAAGGTTGGTTTTACTTCTAAAATGATTTTATCGACACAGACATTCACATCAGTCTGGCCAGTCTGGCATTATAATAGATTTACTTCAAGTGCTTTGTGGAGTGGGTAAGACTGTTTTTAGTGGCAGGTTAACTATGGCCATTGACATGCACGAGCCTAGCACAAGTGACCTCTGCAAATACAAGGACTGGATAGAATATTTAAAATGTGTCTCCACACATCTCCAACTCTCTGGCTAACTAGGAAATGAGGTCCTATGTCCAAAATTCCGAACTGTCCTTTTAAAGTAGTGCTTATAAACCACAACAAAAAAACATAATCTTTTTACCTTCTTAATGCTCTTTGCCCTGTTGTCCTGTCTAGTTGTACCTGCCTGTACCAGGCATGTCTGGCACTTGTTTGAATCATTTGCACCATGAGCTTAGTGCACCTCGGGTCTAACAGCAGCTTCTCTTTCTGCATGACAAGACACAAACACAGCCCTATTATCATATATATGAGGAATTAAAAATATACAGTATACACAATGAATTAGAGTTGTAGATTAAACCTAATGTATAAATTATGTATGTATGAGAGAAACATTTGTTCACAAAAGGTTACGCAGGGAGGTGTACATGCTGTTCACTTTCACCATTAAACTGTTATTTAGTTTGCATCTTTTTCTGGTGATACACAGGAGAATATTTAGAAATGCCTCTAGTATTTTTGGAAATGTGGAGGTTCAAATATGGGGTCATACTTATTCATCTGCAGCAATACTTGGAAGAATCTTATAACTCTAATTCAAACCTATTACTTATTGATGTGTATCATTTAAGCATGCCATCACACCAGGTCATGCAAGAAAGTGCACATGCAAAGGACATCAGTTACACACTACTAAACAGCTTTATCCACCATGTAACCATAATAGTATAATGAACCTGAAGGTCAGGTTCTCGCCTCAGTATTTGTGTTCACTGTTGTATGAATGTGGTGAATGGGCTTCCTTGATGTAAACAGCTTTGAATGCCAAATGGAGGTAGAAAAACTGCATTAAAACATGACGCTTTTTCTCTTGTAGTCCAAAGCAGCCTGTTGATCCGTATTCTCTCAGAATAGCTGAACCTTCAATCTCACTCTCTCGCCCCCTTTCACACTTTTTTATCCCATTGGCTCCTTGTTGACAATGGAGTTGAGACAGCAGTGAAAACAGTGTCTGGTGCAGGTTCATGTGTGCATGTGTGGGACAGGCATAGACACACATGTGCTGTTTCCATGTGTCTTGGGTGCAGTACATTGACTTATAATCATTTCCTGATGAATGATTTAACTTTAAAAAGTGAATATTACATTATTTTCTGAACTATGTTATAATGTTTTGTTTTGCTTCATTCACACATGCGTAACACACGAACCCTGCATATTTAGGCGGAGTTCTTCTCTCAAGCAGAAAATACTCCAACTTATGATGTGATGTGGTAATTCAGGAAATGCTCCGCTGTGTTTTTAAACTCCGTACACCTTCACTAGAATCATTAATCATATGGATAATTTTAAACCCTGTAATTTTCAATCTCTACTGAACAAAAGGTTAAAGGCAGCTGCTAACTTGAAAACTATTGTTTCATGATATCACAAGATAGGACAGAGTATTTTGAGCTTTGGAGATCTAGACAAACTGATAATAGTAATATTTCATTTAATATTTAATTCACACGTGAGAATGAAACACAATTCCAGGTCTGCTTTTGGCAACAGCAATGATGAGCTACTTGCCTTAAAGCTCACAAGTCCTAATCCTAACCTTTAAATCATGATGTTGATCTAATAGAGCTCCTGCATCCATGTGACTAAACCTGACAGGGACTCCATATTGGCAGGTGAGAATTAGTGGCAATGAATGGCACAGTGTCCACTTTTGAGGTTTCTTTGTCATTGTTCTGTGCCCTAAATCTGGAATATCCTGAAATCCTTATATCGTCAAAAAGGGTTCCTGGATATGTTTAAGAAAAATATACGCCCAAAACACATTGGTTTGACTTTAGTTGTTTGTGATTTTATTATTCAACATTCGACATTGCTAAGCAGTCAATTAATGATATGCAAATGAAGTGTTTTGCAAAGAGCATTTGGGGTCATTTCCTTCAAACTCTTTTGCCAAATTAATTGACTAAAGCTAATCGGCAAAACACAACCATACTGTTTTTTAATCTCTATGATACAATGGTTTAGTAATTCAAATAGAAACAAATAAACACCCCCATATCAATGCAACAAATACATTGGTATCTTAATTAATGTGTGACTTGATTGGCTGTTGGTCCATTTAGTTGCACAAATTCACTTCTCCTGTCAATCTGGAGCTTTGTAAATCCGGTAAAAGGCTCATGCTTTCTCCTACCTTTGATAATGTGTACATCCCGGTGTTCAAAAATAATCCAAAATCTCTGAAACTCCAGTAAAGTTTGTTCATTACGGCCAATGCGATTAGTTTCTATGGGACTTCTCAGCCACTGTCCCTCCCTGTATGGGGTTTGGAGGTGCATGCCGGTATTGCTCGACAACAACTGCAGGAGCTCTATAATGAAAAATTTACACCATGGGGACCTGATAATTGTCCCCATAAAGGAGGCAGGTCCAAATGAGGAGAGTGTGTGTATATGGGTTTTAGTCCCCACAATGTGACAAATACTGTACCTGCCCACACTTCATGGACTCTCACATCAATCCATCAAACTCCCTGTCTCTTTAAATGTGTCACTTACTGTGCGTCTGCTCATCTCTCATCTTGTACACGACTCACTTAGACCTGTGTTACATCCACTGACCTGGTGAGGGCAGTGTGATGGACCAGTGGAGCATGCACAGGAAGAGTTAGAATTCCTTTGAATCACACGTCACCACTCCATCGATCCAGTGTGGGCGTTAGGGTAAACACCCCCATACCATTTTCAACACTTTAATAGTATCTTTGACATGCCTTGTCAAAAACAGATACTATTCAAGTCAATATGAATTTTTATGTCACAACTAGTTAAATGTATATTATTGTTATTGTTATTATTGTTGTATAAAATTCAGAACTGACCTACTGTTCCGTATTGTAGCAGGGAACTAGTAAGTTTGAAATTATAGCATTGTAAGTGTGTGTCTTAAAGGTGCATTGTGTAACTTTTCTGGTGGAGGGCCCATCAAATGCTTTTCTCCATGGAGATGTTATTACTTTGTCTGGAATGGAATTAATTTGTCCGTGGAGACGTGATCCCGCTCACTGTCAGAATGTATATTTTTCTAAACATTTGTAAGCATTACAAACACCTTGAATTTGAATTCATTGAATAAATGTAAGGTAGAGATGTTTAATGCCATACTGTGGAACATTCAAGGCAGAGCAAAGACATAGCCATAGAAACGAGCAGTTGATGGACCTGCAACCAAAAAGTTGCACTGTGCACCTTTAATGTGTGAGAAGATATATAGATTATTATGGCTGCACATTTTCTATGACTCGGTCATCCCAGAGGATCATTGAAGTAAGCAGCAATAGGGAGCAAGACCACTTAAGATGGCATTTGACTTTTATGTAAAACATTTTCATAATTATGTATGTATTAGCCTAAAGGAATGACCTTGTTTTTTAATTATAGGTATGATCTTGAGTTCAGAATTTAGCAGACATACATACCTTACTGTTAGTGCTTACTGTTAGGTTCTGAATGCCTGTGAAAACCCTACCACAGGAGGTCACACATTTTCTTGCACAAATATAATTTGTAGATTAAATAATCACTCAAATTGCAATTACAATTTGCAGTATATTGTGCACTCCTAATTTGAAACCACATCAATTAGCCTTTAACATATTAAATTAAAAAGATGTTTGACTAGAAATACTGCTGCCTGAAAATGTACTTTTTCTTAAATGTAGCAGAGTTGGGTGTTGCAGAGCTGCCCCTTGTGATATGATCAACTCCAAATTTACAGCTCATTTTTCTGCTTTCCAGGCTTATTCCTCAGTTTGCCGAGTTCCTGCTTCACAAACAGTATCCATATTACATAAGCTTAGCCTCTCCATCCAGATATACTCCTCATTATTATGCACTTTTCATACACTCTATGAGCTGTTTGTAAATGTTTATATGAATGAACATGAGCATAAGTGATTGTTTGGCATTTTCTCTTGAATACTTAGATCTTTGGGATCTACTCCAGGGTCTGGTTCCATTTTGTTTACTTTACGTCCTTTGTGTTCATGGATTCATATACTTTATTTGTATTGTAACATTCACACTGTACTGCACAAATTAGCAACAAAAATCTAAAAGAAAAGAGCTGTCAGCGATGCAAAAATGGTATAATGTGATATGCCCAAAGACCTTGTGAATATGGTTCTTAAAAATACAGAAAGAGCGGCGAGTATGTTTTACAACTATAGTGCAAGGAGGTGCAATCAAACTGACTGCCAATGAAACAAGTACAACCAGCAATAAAAATAAATAAATAAAAACAGCTATTAGTGGCATGGTGCCTGGTGAAGAGGAGAGGATGTGTTTGTGTGTGGTGCCAGGGCTGGCATTTGGGGCTCCAACAGTATTTGGAGATGGACCAAACATAGCCGACAGTTGGCAGCCACGTGGAGAGGCACTGTGGTCCTGTCAATACAGATGATCGCTTTAGACGAGAGAGGACAATCAATGGCAATTACAGCTTATGGTTTGAATGTCAGTGTACAGGGGTGATTTGTAAACATTCCAGGACAGAGCTCACAAAGCTAAAAATACTGTTGTAATATCAAGACAGCATACTGTAGGACATTGGCTTAACTGCAATATTTAAGATATATTTGGGTTTTTATCATTAATTTTATTATAATAAAGTTGGTAGCAAACACCTACAATTGTTGAAGAAGTAAAAAAGACATTTAATGGTGCACTGTGTAGCTTTCTTAGTGGATAGTCTCATTTCTTTGCCAGGAATGTTGCACAGTAAGTGATTCAAAGTATTACGAAAAAGAACAGATACATTTATTTTATATCATTTATTACTTACTTATTCCTATATTGTCATAGTGTAATTAAGAGAATAATATGGGCTTTAAAATCATTCTTTGTACATGTGTTAAAGCAAGCTAAAAAAACAAAATCTATTCATTTCCAACATGTGAACAAGTTTAAGTACAAAACACTCATAGTTTCGTGTGCAGTATCCAGCCAGGCATACATTAGCAGATAATGGTGTTCAGTGGGTGTACTGAGGAGTGTGTGGAGTGGCTGACCTAATGCATTAGATTGAGTTCACTGTCAGGTCTTTAAGTAGCTGGGATCACACGCAGATACACAGCTAATGGATCCCCCTCTCTGTGGATGGAATAACACCACCATAGCTCCATTAAAAGTGTGACAAACAAAAAAACGCATTCACCTTACTTCTCTTAAAACAGGGCTGAGCTGTTTTTTTTATACCATGCAGCTTTCACTGCTCTGATTAGGCACACATGATCTGATCACATTCAGAAGGAGATTTTGAATATTATGGGCACTATGTATGAATTCAGAGACTTTAACCGAGGGATCTGGGTAGATGTACATCATTTCTACTTAGAATTGTGCAGGTAGATTATTGTAGTAATTTGTTTTATGAGTTAAAACTTGGCTTGTGTGACGAGGTGAAGGAGAGGCTGAGGGGCTGATGGTTCTGCTGCTGCTGTTAAGCATGGAGCTGAATGGCTTGAATGGTTATTGGTTGCAAGGTAACCCGCCTTGCCATTATTTGAATGACACAGTAAAAACTATAAAACTGAAAATCCTTGTATCTGTTGACCGGTTTAACATATTTCTAATTGTATGTGTTTAATTGTAGAACAAGCAGAACCTGCTGTCCAAGCAGATTGATCTAAAGGGTAAAGAGCCAGAGAAGGGTGCTACAGTCCTACACGATCACAGATCTGAGGATCCCTCTGTCCTATGAGGTCCGCCTGGCCCCCATCACCACCTACAGCACTGGGGATTACGTCAGCCGCATCATTCAGTATTCAGAACGTCAGTGTTTTTCTCATTTGAATAGAAAGGGATTTCCTATTGGATTTTAATGGATATGTCTCTTTTTTTCTAGCCTACACGTACCCCAGACCTTCAGGTAAGCATCTCCCTTTGTCACAATCCAACTGCATGTTATTGTGACCCCAAAATGATGATAAAGAAGATTAGGACCTCTGGTTTAATTTCAATGCTAATTCAGAGCACATCTTTCAAATAGATTCAACAAAACTAAGTGAAGAAGACAAACTTTACCGTGACCTAGCTTTGGTTTTGATTAAATCTGGTTGCTATGGAGCAGACTGGAGTGTGCAGAGCAGGGGCAGGATGTGTGAAGAAGCTCACCCATGACATTTTAAATGTCATGAAAGAGTGGTCATAATTGGACGATAGGAGACTGGTTAAGGACACGTGGCTGGAAGAAGGGTTTAAGATATTTTATGAAGACTGCCTTCACATCACTTCATGCTCAGGCTCTTCATTATGGGCTATAAAAACCCTGCTCTATCTCCTCCTGTTGTATGTCAGTGCTGTCTGTGTCCATCTAAGCTCTTACTCTATCCCTCGTCTCATTGTCTCTTCACCATCTCTCCTCCTTCACTCAATTGCATCTTGTCTATCTTCTTCATTAAGAGACACACAGCATTTTCTGGCAGGGATGACAGTTGGCTCGTCTAGGGTGAGGCAATTAAAACAACAGCAGATTGGAACAGACTGCGAAAACAACAGTGCAAATTGAAAGCAGTGCATGTATTGGAACGGCATGTGAATGGTAATAGATTAGGTCTGCTAAACAAAGAACGCGCTGCCCTCTTGGGGAGCAGTAGCCATATGCATCTGCAACACAATATTGGCTATGTGTAAGTCCGGAAACTTCAGGGATCAGGCTGTTCAAGATGGCTCACTTGAGTCAATTATCTTTTTAGTGTCTGATAATCCCACTGCTCTCCAGATGGGCTGGAGCAAAGGTGGCAGCAGGGATGAGAGCAGCAACAGTGTGTGCACCAACAGCTCACAGCTAAAACTATAACAGAACTATAAAAAAATGACATTAGTAACTACAACTGGTAATCAGCTATTAATATGTTGTGATCTAATTTATTCGGCATGAAATTGCAATTCACACTATGAGCAATAATCAATATACTGCATGATGTATTGCTGTTTTTAAGCACCGAATATATTTTAGCAAGAATATTTATTTGTTAAACCACTACAAAGAAATTCACTGCAAAGTTAATATGAAAAACATCAATTTTAATCATTAAAACAATGAATATGTTAAATGTATTGTATAAACAAGCTTTTCAAGCAACAAAATTGTATTGTGGTCACAAAGAAAATTGCAAAAAAAATAAAATAAATAAAATAAAAAAATTTGGTGATATATCAATACAACAGCCCACAATATTGATACTGCATTAACAAATTTAGTATCATGATATATCGATGTTTCAATATTTTATCACTCCCCTAATACATATAATACTAAATTTATTCATCTATGCATGCAACACTGAAATAGCCTGCTGCATAAATGACTTAGACGTGTTGTGAACACGGTGTTATATAAAATTAAATTAGGAGCATACCAGATACAAAGTTAGTGATGAAATTCTCTATCTCTTTGATTACAGATCACGTTTGTGGTTTTGAGGATGAACGCATATGTGGCTTCTCTCAGGACCGCAGCGATGTGTTTGATTGGACAAGACAGAATCACCTAACTCAGAATCCTAAACGCTCAGCCAATACTGGCCCAGAGACTGACCGCAGTGGAACAAAAGAGGGTAAGGACATACATCAAATGGTATATCAAATACTATTATTCTTTTAATGGCTACGTGTTAATGATCTTGACAATGTTTGAATTTAAGGAACCAACTGAAGAAAACATAATAAATCTTTTCATGGTGGAGACACACACATATCTGGTTGAATCTATCTTTTTTATTTGTTTATTTTATAGTGCTAGATGTACATTATCTAACATTTAAACAGATGTAAATATACCTGAATTTGCCATGAGACTAGATTAAATAAATTCTATATATATTCTATTCCTTATAGCTATTGGCACCGAATTCATGCTGACATTTTTTTATTCTTTCTTCAGTCCCACACTTGTGCCATTGCCTTTAGCAAAAATGTTATAAAAAATATATGTATTTTTTAATTAACTGAATTTAAAAAAAGGAAACAACTTAATGATCTATAGTTTAAACATAATTTAATCTTTCTCACTATTTTATTTTTAAACCAGGCCAACTCCAACACAGATAACTCAAATCAGTCTTCTTTTGTTTCCAGGCTACTACATGTACATCGAAGCGTCGCGCCCCAGAGTACAAGGGGACAAAGCCCGTCTTCTGTCACCACTTTTTAATGTAACCTCTGTCAAGAGCCCCAAGGGGTCTGGCCGCGTCCCATACTGCGTGTCCTTCTACTACCACATGAAGGGCAAACACATAGGTAAGTACTGGCAGTCCTCATGAAAATAATAAAACCTACAAAACTTTGCTCCACTCCCCTCCAGACATGTGTTGAAATTAGACAATGGTGTATCTACTTACTTTGGGTACTGCTGGGGTTTGAGAATGGTGGTAAACTTTGACCTTTGTACTAGAACAGTCCTCTGCAGTTGTGTAGGTGCAAGTCTACAGTGCAAAAGCTAGAAAGGAGAGCACAGAGACGAGTATTACCAAAGTTGGATTTCTGCTGGTGCTTGGTGCTGGAAGGGGGCAGTGGGTGTGTGATTTATGGCAGTGGCAAGACACAATCAGTCATTGGGGGGAGCTGTTCATCATAATATGCTCTGTCACACCACAAGAATGCATACATCTTGTAGTCCACACACCTGCACACACAGAAGCAATGGAGTACAGTGGCCCGGCATACAGTATGTGAGGCTGTATAGGGGGTGTGGTCACTTTCTACCCTCCAGGGAAAAAATAGGCCTGTCAGATATAGAAAATAAATTCCCTGCTATATATTCTTGTTCTTCTCAAATTCTTAAATAAAACGTTGTGTTTTACAAATTTATCAAATGTAAGTTATTCAAAGAATTTGTGCAACTTTTATGTATTTTTGAAAACAATACCAACATTTGATCAATATATATCTAAGTATACTGGATTGAATTAAATTAAATAGTTTGCAAGAAATTATTAGCTCATTAGTTTTACAATTTAAAGGTGCATTGCATAAGAAAGGCAACCCTGTTAGACTGCCAGCTTTTTATTTTTAGTTAAACCATTTATAATTTAATAAATATAATGACCTGTTGAACATCATACTGTGGAAACAAATATGGTGACAGACCCCCAACCAAAAAGGAGTACATAGTACATAGTGCACCTTTAATAATACTATTCTTTAAAAATACTATACTATAATAATGAAATACTATAATTTTTTAGATAATGTATTCTGTCTTTATGTACATTTTCATAAATATTAACATTTGCTTTAAAAGAGCTTTAGATTAAACCTTGTCTTTTATCCACACTTAATGCAACAGCACTATCACAGCATTAGTTCAGTCTGTTACTAGTTGTGTCCAGCTCCACTCTGTTCTCTCAGTCAGCTCCAATCTGCCGTAGCCTTAATTGCCTTACCTTGGCAGATCTCACACTAGTGCAGGCGAAACACAGGGGGACTCTTAATGACACAAAGAAACAGGATCAGACAATGGAGAGGAAGGAGGAAGTTCTGCAGCCTGCTCTTTAAAAGTAAACACATGAGGTTAACGAAGAGGCCAAGGGGACCTGCAGGACTCAAGCACAAAAATATGGTGAGAATGTGAGCAAACACGAAAGAGGAGTGGAGTGGAGGAGGAGAAGAGACAGACAAGAGTAGCCATCAAGCTGTCAACATGCTGCACTGGTGAGCAAATCTAATGGGTGTATACTAGTATATTGTTATACCATAGGCTGAGTCATTACTCATTAAGAAATGCTTTATCTATAATGATGTGGAAATTACTCACATTATCAGACAGAAATATTGTAGCAAGTGACAGACATTTTACAATAGACTGTGTAGTCAGTGCCATCATTCCGCACACGCACATTCCACACAACACGTAGGGCACCAAGTGCTGCACCACCAAAAAATCAGGCCCATGAATCCTCGCAAAACTGTCCATCTAAAGTACGCAGAGAGAGGCGAGAAGCCAGTGCCAGTGTGAACAGAATCCTTAGAAATCTCACTTTCTCTGTCTCTCCCTCTCTCTGCCTGGCGCACCACAAAGTATTTGTGCTTAGGGCACCCAAATGACTAGCAACAGCCCTATTCGTACTACCCTCAAAAATACATAAAAGTTTGACATTTTGTTAATCTTCTTTTTTAAATAATTGAATTTGCTTTGTAAAATTAATCACATATTGTTCAAGTGCTTTTTATTTTTTGTATTTTTTCTTTCTTTTTTTTTCTTTTTTTGCTGTCTGGCAGCTACAATAAGCAGGTTTTAATTAGTTTGTATTTGGCATTGGCTAATATTTTGCAACAACATCTCATGGTTCCACACAACCATTGGCACAAGGCTCCTGGACAGTGTTCATCTCCAACAGATGTTAGAAGTAGAGTTTAACAGGTTGGTCTAAAGGAAACTGACTAACAACTAGGGATGGGCATTCGATTAAATTTTCTTAATCGATCGTCGGAAGAATTAACGATCGATTATCGATTAATCATTAACGTTTTATATTAAAATGATCATCATTATTATTACTATCTGCACTACTAATCTGCATAAATAAATTCAACTTTACGACATATAAACCGTAACCACTCTAGAGCCACATCAATCCGTTTGACATTATAATGTGTTTAATTCAGTTTTGCGCAACTCTCACAGAAACTAAACTTAAAACCGCATCGCTAATTTGCATAAACTAAGCGAAAATAAAACTACAGCTCTTGTGTCGCTGATGCGGTCAATGTCTGTTGGATTAAAAGACATGATTCAGTGGAATACAGGTTAGTGTGACCATAGTTGCGTTTGTCAAAACCAGCACACTGTACGGGAGGTGGGAGGTGTGGATTTGTCATCGACATTGAGCGACTCTCACCTGGCAAAACTTTTTCCCACTGGACACCGAAACATATGTGCTGCTTTGTACATTGTGCACATGGACTCACACTTGTCCCGAACGCAACGGAAAGCATGGAATTTCTTGTACAAATCATCGTTAAATACGCATTTGTGCTTCGGTACGTTGCAGACTGACCGACTGTTTGTGTCTCGCTCCTTCTGAGTGCAGAGCTACATGTACGGACCCCTGTTTGGTCACGCTACGCACAGCAACCTACATTCGGTTTGTTGATTAAAATTAACGTAATTGATGAAATTCTTAATGATCAATTATCGATTAATCGATTAATCATGCCCATCCCTACTAACAACATATTTAAATAATGCTGAACAATATAAATGATTAGAAATACTTTACAGAGCCTTAAAATCTGTTATTGACATTTACCTTGATTATAGTATAGTATATAAGTATAGGCTGGATTAAGGAGAATGCATGCTAACTATTGCTGGAATCAAATAACATACAGCATAAGTGATAGATAGACATATAAATAAATAGATAAATAATAAAAGAATAGATTAATAGATAAATGTGGGTGTATGTTTCTGTCCAGTGTAGAAGTCTATTACTAGCACACTGAGAAGTAACATAGAGCATTTGCCTATCTTTCAATAATACATTTCTAATCACATTACTTGAAGCCATGGCAAGCAGCTATTTGCAAGTCTATGAGGTAGAAAATAGGCCTAATTGTATGTAATTGCATGTTTGTGTGTGTAGCTGGATGTCCCCACTCCCTGCTCTCTTGATGACTACAGCCGTGATAGAGCTATACCTTGGCTGTGGCTTCACTGACACTCTCACCAGCATATTGTGTTTTACTTCAACCCAATCAATAGACTTCTTATCAGGGTGCTCTTCTCTCTTACCCCTGCCAGCAGCTGTGTAGGTGGGAGTGGTGAAAGGCAAAGTGGACAGAATGGAGCTTGTTTAGTAGGGAAGAAGAGGGGCCTATATGTACAGATAGATACATAGGGGACAAAGTGGTGGTTACAAGTGGGTTATATCCCTAATGCCAGGATCATGTCTAGTCGGAGAATTTATAAGAACATTTTATAGGAAACTGTACTGTTCTTGTCCTGTCTTTTCTTTTAGTCTGCTGTTTTGTCTTTGCTTTATGGCTACCATTACTGCTGTATGTACTGTACAAAAATAACCTAACTAAATATAACAGAAAAATAACTTAAAGGCTCACTATGTTACATTTCTGATGAAGGGTCCACTATGATGGATATGTTTTTGCTTTGCATGAATGTTCCACAATGTCACATACATTTTCTGTATTTAATTTGTTCAGTTACATGTGTTTTCATTAAAAAATAAACAAATAAATAAATGCATTTTTACAGCAATAACACTTCAATGGAGACAAGCTGTACACTCAACCAGAAAAGTTTCATAGTTCTGTAACTATGTGAACTGTACACAAACAAACTCAGAAATACATCCATATTTTAAATCATGTAATATAAACGTTTTTCATTTGTAATAATCACAATTAAGCATGCAAGTTAGATGGAGTGCACTCAGGCAGTCCATAAGCACACAGACTGAGCCATGTTATGAGCGCAGTATATTAGCGGGAGCTGCAGTTGTGTATTTGTTTAAAGAGAACGGCGGTTGGTTAATGTTCCAATTAGGCCCAGGCTGAGGGTCGTTAACAAGACAAATGCATGCTCTCACCTTAGAGATCTATCTGAGAGCTGATCACTTCACTACGGCTCCCAGTGCATGCCCCTGTCTCTATGCCCTCATTACAGACTTAATTTTAATATTTATTTCACAAACTCAATTAAAGATATACTTTGTTTTTTTGTTTTTTGTTTTGGTTCCTTTTGCGTGCTTCTCTGCATGTTATTGCTTTGCCTGGTATGTACCACAGTATGGCTATAAACTTTGTTGGGAAAGTTACAGGTATGGTAGATAGAGACGAGAACCTATTCTACACCTGCAGCTGAATAAATACAAGAATAATAAGCTAAATACCAATTGTGAAAGATTCCAGGTAAAGCAATCACATCTGGAGACAAGCAGGTGGCAGGCGTCCATCAGAAAAGTTACATAGTGCACGTTAAGGCATGTTGCAAGGATACAAATGTGAACAATAATGAATTGTTTGCAACTTAAACACAAATATTTAATACTGTTGTTTGAGGAAAAAATACCACTGTACCTCAAAGCCAGTAATTTAATGCATACTAGATCTTTCAGTGACTGTAAATACATATACATATTGTGTCTTTCTCATTTAAATTAAATTAATAAAAATAAAATCTTTGTAGGAACTCTGAATGTTCTGTTGAGAGTCCGAAGCATCACGTCGGTGGACACAGTTCTGTGGTCCAAGTCTGGTCACCAAGGCCCAGACTGGAGGAAAGCCTTCTTTGACATCAGTCCCAGTGGACCTTTTCAGGTAAGAAATATTATCAAAATTATTAGGCTGATATGGCAAGTATTGTAAGATTTTTTTCTAGATCCATGAATCAGTCTTTGTAACATTTGTTGTTAATTTACTTATCCACATAGTGTTTGATTACAGGCAGTAGTATTGATAGATGAGCATATTGAAATGTATATTCAGCTCATATTTTGCCAGATGTCAGCAACAATCATATCCCCACAGAATCTGAGAAATTGCATACACTATAAGGAATGGTTTGAAGGGTCATATACACTGAGGGACTGAAAAACATCCTTATTTACAGCATATCATAATTCTTGGAAACAAATTAAACATTGCATTTTATTTATTTGTGTACTTTTGTCACTAGCTCTCAGTCACAGCCCAGATGTCAGATTAGTTGTGGTGTGTTTGACTTCCCCTCACAGATTTAGGGCTCTCTACAGTCTGCAATACATCAATAGTGCAATTTGGGATTAATCATTAGAGTCTGTTGACACATTGGATGTCCCTCTGGCTCTGTGACTGTTGAAAGTGTAATTTGTGCATTCTATGGGGTTATAGCTGAGTGATTTTGAGGAGCCAGTTTTTGCTAGATTATAGCTTTTGATTATATGGAAGTAGCAGAGGTTATATGGAAGTTGAGGAGGTTAAAAAAAAAGAAAATACAATAGCAAATTTGCGATGACATTTGCAATGTGTGTATAAAAAGTAGGATTCTTTGCATTCTTTGTAAACAACTCAAGGAGCAGTAACATTTGAGAGAAGACTGAAATATGAATTGATGAACTAATACAAGATTTTTTGTAAAAAGATTAATATTTATAACTTCTACCTTATCAACTCCCAGTACAGTTATCCATCTAAAGTAACAACATAAACAGACATGCATACACACATAAAGCTCTTTTTTAAACCCACACCAGTCTCCTATCCCCCACAGCAATTAGCTATGACAGGTCAATTAACAGGCTTATTTATGAGCAGGGGATGCCTGCTAGTTGTGTTGTAATGATTCCAGATACTCCCTGTACTATGTGCATGGGGGAAATTGAATCTATGATGAATGTGGGCTGAAGGCTCTGAGCAGCATTTGCTCTTCATTAACTATGCCTCAGCAAAAGTATGTGTCTTCCACCATTACAGCGGGGACTACGCCTGAGCAAGACTGAGACTGTGGGTTTGGCACATCCTCTGGGATCTTGGACAATAAGGGCCGGCTTAATGTGTTTATTGTAAGATAGTTTAGCAAAAAGTTTTGCCCACCTGTGTGCAAAGTTAGGCCAGTTCAGCTGTGGTAGTAAGGAGTTATATTAGTAATATTATTTGTGTGTGTGTGTGTATGTGTATGTATATATATATGATATATATATATATATATATATATATATATATATATATATACTATATATATATATATATATATATATATATATATATATATATATAGGGGGGGCAATGAGCTAACCAGTGTGGGTCCTTGGGCAAGACCCTTCGTGCTACTGCCCACCTCATACAATGATGAGAGAGAAAGAAACGTATGACATGCCGGCTCAGACTTCGCCCGGCCAAACAAGGTCTGCATCAGGTGCTGGGGAACCAGGGCACCTTGATGAAAAATGGGCTACTGGAACACGGCGGAAATGGGCGAGATGCGAGAACAAGGCTCTGTTGGAATGCTACTACTACAGTAACCCTAGGCAGAGGGGTTACATGAACAGGATGTGGGAGAAATGGTTGTTACGATACCCACAGTCCAAGCTAACGGCCAAACAACTAGTAGCTCAGTGTTCCAACATCCACAAACGGCAACTGCTATCACAACTAGAGATTGATGAGGTACAACACAAATGCCACGGCAAGGGGGAACCAGTGTGCCAGGTCAGTCAGAGGGAGTTGACACCAACTCCCCAACCAGAGATTGGGTATGAAACCCCAATAAGTATCACGCTGAGCGAGGCAGCGACTGACTTGAAAGATAAGATCATGGCCCGAATGAACACAAGGCAACCCCGATGCCAGTTACAGAGGCTAAGTGAAGTGTACCAAGTACCATCTGAAAGTCTCCTAGACGATGTGAATGCAGCACTGACAGTGATCCCTACCACAACAATCACTGAAACCAATGAGCTGATATACACTTCAGCAGCAGTGATCCTAGATGTGTTGGGCTATAAGAGCAACCATGGGAGCCATGCGATACAATACCCACCATGGCAAAGACGGTTAGAGGCTAAAATCAAGGAGGTGCGGAGAGAAGTGAGCCAACTGTCAGAGGCCCAGAAAGGTGCAATGAAAAAGCAAGTGCCCTAGAGGTACAACCAGTTGCCCATACCTGAAGCACTCGAAACTGCCAAACAAAGGCTCCAAGCCTTGGCCAGCCGCCTAAAGAGGTACACACGAGATAACGAGGCCAGACGAATAAACTGGCTGTTCGCAACACAACCGGCGAAAGTGTACGCTCAGTGGCAGGGTAGGGTAATAACACCAGAGCATACCCACAAGGCAAGGCTGGAGACTGAGAGGTACTGGAAAGGCATATGGGAAAGGGAGGCATCACATAACACCGATGCACAGTGGCTGGTGGATCTGAGAGAAGACCACAGCAACCTCCCTGAACAGAATCCAGTCACCATCACAGTGGCAGACATCCAGGGAAGAGTCTCAGGTATGAAAAACTGGACCGCACCGGGCCCTGACATGATCCATGCGTACTGGCTAAAGAAGCTCACTGCCCTCCACGAGCGCCTGGCAGCACAAATGAACCAGCTGCTAAGGGATGGGACTCACCCTGAATGGTTAACCCAAGGGCGTACGATCCTGATCCTAAAGGATCCTTCAAAGGGTGCAGTCCCATCCAACTATCGGCCAATAACCTGTCTCTCCACAACATGGAAGCTCATGTCAGGCATCATTGCGGCTAAGATAAGTGGGCACATGGATCAATACATGAGCGCAGCACAGAAGGGTATCGGTAAAAACACCAGGGGAGCCAAACACCAACTCCTGGTTGACCGAACAGTCGCCAGCGAATGCAGAACCCGTAAGACCAACCTGTGCACTGCCTGGATTGATTACAAGAAAGCCTACGACTCAATGCCACACACATGGATCACTGAGTGCTTGAAGCTGTACAATATCAACAGGACTCTAAGGGCGTTCATTGCGAACTCGATGCGGTTGTGGAAAACCACCCTTGAAGCCAAGGGGAAGCCACTTGCACATGTGTCCATCAAATGTGGCATATACCAAGGAGATTCACTGTCCCCACTACTGTTCTGCATAGGCCTGAACCCTCTCAGCCAAATAATCGACCGCACTGGCTATGGATACCGACTCAGAAACGGGGCCACCATCAGTCACCTCCTCTACATGGATGACATCAAGCTGTACGCTAAGAGTGAGCGAGACATCGACTCACTGATCCACACCACAAGGATCTACAGTACAGACATTGGGATGTCATTTGGGCTTGAGAAATGTAGCAGGATGGTGACAAAGAGAGGGAAGGTAGTCCACACAGAGGGGGGTGTCACTCCCAGAGGGAACAATAGCAGACGTTGAGGACAGTTACAAGTACCTTGGTATCCCACAAGCAAATGGCAACCTCGAAGAGGCAACAAGGAAAGCGGCTACGGCCAAATACCTGCAAAGAGTGAGGCAAGTCCTTAGAAGCCAGCTCAATGGCAAGAACAAGGTGCAGGCAATCAACAGCTACGCCCTGCCAGTGATCAGATACCCTGCAGGGATTGTAAGCTGGCCAAAGGAGGAGATACAGACCACAGATGTTAAGACACGAAAGGAAGGGGGGCCGAGGACTAGTGAGTGTGGGAACCACTGTCCAGGATGAAACATCCAAGCTCCTTGAGTACATCAAGGACAAGGCCCCGGCAGATGAGGTGCTCAGAGAATGTCTCAGACAGTGGGGTCCAGAGGAAGAGGTGCTGGAGGGACCATCATGGCAGGACAAACCCCTACATGGGGCGTACCACCGGAGCATAACTGAAGTGGCTGATATCAAGAAATCCTACCAATGGCTTGAGAGGGCTGGTCTGAAGGACAGCACAGAGGCACTGATCCTGGCTGCTCAGGAGCAGGCCCTGGGCACTCGAGCAATAGAGGCCCAGATCTACCACACCAGACAAGACCCACGGTGTAGACTGTGCAAAGAGGCTCCTGAGACAGTCCAGCACATAACCGCAGGGTGTAAGATGCTGGCAGGGAAAGCATACATGGAGCGACATAACCAAGTTGCGGGCATAGTGTACAGAAACATCTGTGCAGAGTACAGGTGGGAAACACCTCCAAAGTTTGTGTAGAACGACCGAGCCAAGATCCTGTGGGACTTCCAGATACAGACTGACAGGATGGTGATGGCGAACCAACCAGACATAGTGGTGGTGGATAAGAAACAGAGCAGAGCCGTGGTGGTTGACATCGCAATACCGAGCGATGGTAATATCAGGAAAAAGGAACACGAGAAACTAGAGAAATACCAGGGGCTCAAGGAAGAGCTGGAGAGAGCCTGGAAAGTGAAGGCATCAGTGGTGCCTGTGGTGATCGGAGCACTTGGGGCTGTAATCCCCAAACTGTTAGAGTGGCTACATCAGATACCAGGAAAAACAATGGACATCTCAGTCCAGACCAGTGCAGTACTGGGAACAGCAAAGATACTGCACAGAACTTTCAAGCTCCCAGACACAGGTGAAATTGTGTTTCTAGTTTGCTTATGATGGATGACTGTTGAAACACAGCTGTCCTACAGAGGAGAACAGATAATACAGCATAGTACTCAACAAATTTGTCATTACAATCAGAATTTATGTTGGTTGCGACCTTTGGTCTAACTTGGTAATCTGAGGGTACTTTCCACATGACAAATGAAGATTAAAATAATATTCATCATTGGGATCAAAAAGGCAAAAAGAAATATATAAAATAATCTCAACAAAATGGTTAGTGTTTGCAATTTTTTCTAGATCAAGACCCGCATTATTAGAGATCAAATGAAA